AGTCGAAGAGCACGAAGTTGCCTACAGTTGGCTACGGGCATTCAAAATGTGGCCCGGGAATGGAGTTCTGGGAACTCGAAGAGCACGAAGTGGCCTACAGTTGGCTCCGGACATTCAAAATGTGGCCCGGGAATGGAGTTCTGGGGACTCGAAGACCACGAAGTGGCCTACAGTTGGCTCCGGGCATCCAAAATGTGGCCCGGGAATGGAATTCTGGGAAATGGAAAAGCACGAAATGGCCTACAGTTGGCTCCGGGCATCCAAAATGTGGCCCGGGAATGGAGTTCTGGGAAATGGAAGAGCACGAAGTGGCCTACAGTTGGCTCCGGGCATCCAAAATGTGGCCCGGGAATGGAGTTCTGGGAAATAGAAGAGCACGAAGTGGCCTACAGTTGCATCCGGCCCCCCAGAATGTGGCCTGGGAATGGAGTTCTGGGAAGGCGAAGAGCACGAAGTGCGTGACTGTTGGTGAAAAACGAGCCCGGCTCACTGCCGCCCGGCAACTCCCAACACCTGCCCGGACCCCCCTGTGGAGTGATCTGCTGCTCTCTTTTGATCCCACTAGAAACCAATCAGTCTTCGCTGTTAGGTAAAAATCAAAAAAACATCCGCCCCCAGGAGCCCCAGGGGGCCTCAAGAGTGCCCCAAGAGGCCGCCAGAGGCTCCCAAGAGGCCCCCAAGACACCCCAAGGAACCCCCAAGAAGCCCCCCCGAAGCCCCCCAGAGCTCCGAAACGGCCCCCCAGTGGCTTCAAAACTGTATTCCAGACGCCCCCGAGAGGCGCGCCGCGAGATCCCGATACACACACACACACAAGAAGCCTCACACTCATAACCCATGACCCAGAGCCTTCTCTCTGCGTCCCCCTCTTCCTCCTCCCCCTCCTACTCCACCTCGGCCCTCAAGTGGCTTCCAAGCTACTTTCCAGAGGGCACCGAGAGGCGTGCCACGAGATCCCGATACCCATACAAGACGCCTCTACCCCATAACCCATACCGCAAAGCCTCATCTCATTGTCCACCTCTTCCTCCTCATCCTCCGCCGCCTCCTCGTTCCCCTCCTCCTACTCCTCCCCCTCTCCATTCGCATCCTCTCCGCTTAGTACTACTTCTAGCAAGTCCACATGCGCTTATACCTTGGCTGCGAAGACTACGGCTACGACGACGACGACGACGACGACGACGACGACGACGACGACGACGACGACGACGACGACGACGACGACGACGACGACGACGACACTAACTACTACTACTACTACTATAGACGACCACTACACTCTACTACGACTCCTCCTCCTACTACTATTACTGCTGCTGCTGCGGCAGGACTACTACTACACTACTAACTATTACTAAAAACTAAATATTACTACTACTACTACTACTTCATCTTCTTCTTCTACTACTACTACTACTACTACATTTAACGACTACACTACTACGGGCTACTACTACTACACTAACCACTACTACACTACTGCACTAATTACTACTACTCTAACTGCAACTACTACTAGCCTACTACTACTACTCTAACTACTACTACTACTACTACTACGGCTACCACTACCACTACCACTACCACTACCACTACTACTACTACTACTACTACTACTACTGTTACTGTAACTACTAATACTGCTACTGCTACTACTACTACTACTACTACTACTACTGCTACTACTACTACTACCACTACTACGGCTAGTACTACTACTACTACCATTACGACAAACCCTACGACAGCTACTAACTACTACTACTAAATAGTACTACTACTACTACTACTACTACTACTACTACTACTATTACTACTACTGCGACTGCTACTACTACGACTACGGCGACTACAACAACAACTACTACTACTACTACTACAACTACTACTACTACAACTACAACTACTACTACTACTACTACTACTACTACTACTACTACTAACTACTACTAAACGACTACTACTACCTACGACTACTACTAATTACTAATACTAATACTACTACTACTACTACTACTAATACTACTACTACTACTACTACGAAAACTACTACAACTACTACTAAACTACTACTACTACTACGACTACTACCACTACTGCTACTACTACTCCTACTACTACTACTACTACTACTACTACTCCTACTACTACTACAACTACAACTACAACTACTACTACTATTACTACTACTACTACTACTACTACGACGACTACTACTACCACTACCACTACGACTACGACTACGACTACGAGTACGACTACGAATACGACTACGACTACGACTACGATTACGACTACGACTACGATTACTACGTCTACTACTACGTCTACTACTACTACTACTACTACTACTACTACTACTACCACTACTACTACTATTACTACTACTACTACGACTACTACGACTACTGCGACTACTACTACGACTACTACTACGACTACTACTACGACTACTACTACTACTACTACTACTACTAGCTCGCTAGTCCTGCTCGCATAATCACAATGACCATTTATATCGACCGACCCCTGGTCGGCCACTAGGCGTGCGAGAGTCTCCGCCCCCAGAAGCCACAACAGAGACTCCCAAACCGATAAAGGACTACCCCCGCAGGTCCCGGACGGACCTCATCAGCAAGATCGAACCACACACACACCACTGCATAGAAAACAAGGAGTCAAACGCATTCTCCTCCTTCTCCTCCTCTTCTTCCTCACGTGGGGGAGGAGGAGGAGAAGGAGGAGTAGGAGAATAATGTCGGCGGAGGAGAAGGAGGAGGAGGCGGAAGAGATGCATCCTATTCGTTAGGAAAGTCGGCCCTTGGGCTCTAGACGTTCTCCTTGCGCCGGACAGGACCCCCGAAAACCAGAGGGGGGTGAAGACGGTTTCCACTCGAAATGAATCCCTGGACCCCTACCGGAGTCCACTTGACGCCGTTTCCTCATCCTCACCTTCCTCCATCTATTTATCTTCCCACTCCTCCGCCTCATCCCCCACAGAGGCACCAAGGACCCCCCAGAGCCCCTGGAGAAGGGAGATAAAGAAGGAAGTGATACCTGAGCGAATAAGGAATACAAGGGGTCGGCAGTTGTGGCGTAAGCCTGTAGAATCTCTTGCAATTGTTTACAACGAATGTGCGCGGCGCTAAGGCGAGAGCCACACTTTGAAAACCACACGCCATCAATCCGTGAAGCTCTTGCAAATGTTTACGACGAATGTGCGCGGCGCTAATGCGAGACCAACATTTGGAAAACCATCCGCCCTCAATATGTGAACCTTTTGCAAATTTAAAAAGCGATGTGCGCGGCGATGTGGCGACAGCCACGTTTTGAAAACAACCCACCCTCCATCTGTGAAACGGTTGTAATTTTTAAGCGTCAGACTCAGAAATGGTGAGGACATCTCAAGGGAAACGCCCAGCCCGCCCTAAAACTTAGCCTCGGGGTGAGACAGGGAGGAGTTATCTATAAGGCAAACGAATAGGAGGAGGAGGAGGAGGAGGAGGAGGAGGAGGAGGGGGAGGAGGGGCGGAGGAGGAGGAGGAGGATGGAGGGGAGGAGGGGGAGGAGGTGGAGGAGGAGGAGAGGCGGAGGCGGAGGAGAGGAGGAGGATGGAGAGGGTGGAGGAAGGAGGAGGAAAAGGAGGAGGAGGAGGAGGGAGGAGGAGAGGAGGAGGAGGAGGAGGGGAGGAGGAGGAGGTAAAGGAAGGAGGATGAGGAGGGGGAGGAGGAGGCGGAGGAGGTAGCCGGAGGAGGAGGAGGAGGAGGAGGAGGGGGAGGAGAGGAGGAGGAGGAGGAAGAGGAGGAGGAGGAGGAGGAGGAAGAGGAGGGAGGAGGAGGAGGGAGGATGAGAACGCCTGGAGGAGGAGGGGGGGGGAGGGGGAGGGGGAGGAGGAGGAGAGGGGGAGGGGCGGGGGGGGGAGGGGTGGAGGAGGAGGAGGAGAGGGAGGGGGGGGGCGGGAGGAGGAGGAGGAGGAGGAGGAGGAGGAGGAGGAGGCGGAGGAGGTGGAGGAGGTGGAGGGGGGGGGAGGGAGGAGGAGGAGGAGGAGAGGGAGGAGGAAGAGGAGGAGGAGGAAACTTCTCGGAAGTCCAAAGGACAGCCGAGCCTTCTGAGAAGGCCCGCCCCCTCTCACTTCCGCTCCACGCGCGCCGCCGATCAACCCTCTGCCCCGAGAGCCCCCAATAGCATCCCACAGGCGCCCCAAAGAAGGCGCCAAGGCTACTTCCAGGGCCCCTCCTCCTCCTCCTCCTTCTCCTCCTCCTCCTCCTCCTCCTCCTCCTCCTCCTCAGCGGAGGGCTGCAATTGAGCGCACACCCTTGCCGGACCTCCTGCCTCGAGGAAGGCCCCAGCAGCACCCGACAGGCCCCCCGGGTACGTAGGCCCATAAGACGGCCCCCTCCCCCCCCCTGCGCTCGCCGCCGACCGGGGGCTCTGGGGTGGAGCTCAGAGCTGGGGGGGCACGCTGCGGCGGGCCAGCCCCGGGCAGCCTCCGAGAGCGGCACGGGGGGAACCGCCAGAGCGGGGAGAGAAGAGGTGGCGAAGCAGGCCCTCAAGAGGGCCCCCCTTCCAAAAGTGGCCCGAAGAGAGCCCAGAGGTAACCCAGGTTTGCCTACAAGAGGCTCCCAGCCGCCCACGGGGTGGCCCCTGTTGGTAGCTGCCCAGGCTGACTCCAGCATCGGCCTTACCATCCAACGCGAAGTTTCGGCATGCCTACGACCTGCGGCATACTGTTCAACTTCCATCTGCCTTTCCTCGTGCTCCCCCTCCTCCTTCTCCTCATCCCGTTTCCCTCACCCAGCTTGAGGCACGACAGCGCTAGTCGACTCTACACACGGACAGGGACAGATACTCAGTTGTGAAAGCCGCCGATCCAGAACCGCAAATGAGACAGCACGACGAGAAGCGTGGCCAAGAACGAACGGAACCTCATATAATAACAAATACATTCGGAAGTGTAAAAGTTTGGAGGTCCGCGCGGGATTCTTGGCTCGGTGGAGGCTCGCCTTGAGCGCATCCCCAGCCTCTCCCTCTTCCTTCTTCGCCTGGACGAGAGCCTCCTTGCTGGCCGCCTCCTCGGTCCGGGGGGGCATCTGGCATTCTACTCCGCATCCTCCGCATGCCTTTGCCTCACGGAACAACTCCTCCCTGCCGCATCCGCAGACGTGTCCACTGGCCGGGCGACGCGTTCCGCCTGAGACCTCCTCACCGCTTATGGTCCTGAAGCTTGGATGTTGCAACATATCCAAAGATGGAGGACTGACGAGTTCAAAAGAGAGCTCTCGCCTTAGCGCCACGCGCGTTGTCATAAAAGTTTGCAGCAGTTTCGAGGATGCGGGGCGGCCCATTCTTAACATGGAGCTCTCGCATTTGCGCCGCCCACATTCGTCGTAAACATCTGCATCAGCTTCAAGGATGGAGGTCGCTTCTGTTCAATGTGTGGCTCTTGCCTGAGCGCCGCGCACATTCGTCTCAAACGTTGGCAGCATTTTCGCAGGGTTCGAAGTCTCAGCAACGGTGTTCTGGCACGATTTAGGACTGTCCCAGGAACTCCGTTTTGGCACGAGTTGAAATCCCAGGAACGTGGATTCGCGGAGTTGAAAATCCCAGGAACTTCGTTTTGGCACGATTCGAGATTGTCAGGACGCAGCAGTCACGCTGGTTCGTGGCGTTGAAGTAGGATTCCCAAGCGATTTCGGGTGTCCGAACTTGTATGTGTTTAATTTCTTATGGTCCTGCCGGGGCATCTCCTTTCTTGGGGAATCTGGAGAGTGACATCCTACATATATTTGAAATCCTTCGGACGGTTGTCTTTCAATGGGCCACGTCCTGCTTTGACACACGCTCGTAGTGACTTGTAAAGAGGAACTTAGAGGGAGGATAGATTGCAATATCGTTGATGCGTCTTGGGTTTACACGGGTCCTTCTCCTCCTCCTCCATTTCGTCTTTCTCAGTCCTCAGCCTCCTACACCTGCCGTCCTCCTCCGCCTCCTGCTCATCCTCCTCCTCGCCCTCCTGCTTCTCCTCGCTCTCCTCCTCCTCCTCCTACTTCTACTCCTCCTCCTCCTGCTTCTACTGCTCCTGCTCCTCCTCCTCCTCCTGGCCTTCCTCCACCTTCCCTCTTCCCTCCTCCCTCCGACCTCCTGTGTCCTCTCTCCGTCCTCCTCCTCCTCCAGCCCAGCCCGCTGCTCCTCCTCCTCCTCCTCCTCCTCTTCCTCCTCCTCAGTTATCCTCCTCCTCCCCCTCCGTCCCTATCATCTCTCCATCCCCCTCGTCCTCCGTCTCCTCTCCTCCTCCCCACTTCTCCTCCTCCTCACCTCCTCCCCCTTCTCCTCAGTTCTCCTCCTTCTCCTCCTCCTCCTCCTCATCCTCCTTATCATCATCAGCATCATCATCGTCATCGTCATCATCAACATAATCAGCATCGCTATCTTCATCATCGCCATCAACATCATCATCAGCATCGTCGTCATGTAAACAGCATCAGCATCAACATCATCATCACCGCCATCACCCTCATCATCATCATTATCGCCATCATCAACATCGTCGTCATCGTCAGCATCGTCATCGTCATCATCGTCAACAATAGCGTCATCATCATCATCATCATCACCCTCATCATCACCATCAGCAGCATCGATATCATCATCATCAGCATCGATGTCGTCATCATCATCGCCATGTCATCATCACCCGCATAAACATCATCATCATCATCAGCCCAAGCATTATCATCATTGTCATCGTCATCATCATAATTCTCCTCAGCAGCATCACCATCATGATTATCATCAGCATCATCATCATCATAATCATAAGCATCATCATCATCATCAGCATCATCATCAGTTTCGTCATCGTCATGATCATCGTCAACAGCATCATCAGCACCAGCATCATCAACACCACCACCATCGTCATCATCGCCGTCGTCGTGATCGTCATCAGCATCATCATCAGCATCATCGGCATCATCAGCAGCATTATCAGCATCGTCATCGGTATCGTCATCAGCATCGTCATCGTCATCATCATCACCAGCCTCAGCATCATCATCATCATCATCCTCGTCATCTTCATCGTCGTCGTCAACATCATGACCACCATCATCATCATCATCAGCATCATGATCAGCAGCATCATCATCACCATCGTCATCGTGAGAATCATTATCATCAGCATGCGCATCATCATCACCATCACCATCACCATCATTAGCATCGTCGTCGTCATCACCATCATGAGCTTTATCATCATCAGCCTCAGCATCATCAGCATTGTTTTCACCATCAGCAACATCATCGTCATCGTCATCGTCAGCCTCATGATCATCATCAGCATCATCATCAGCATCATCATCGCCATCGTCATCGTCATCAGCATCGTCATCAACATCAACAGCCTCAGCACCACCACTATCATCAGCATCATCATCATGATCGTGCTGATCAGCAGCATCAGCATCAGCATCATCATCATCACGACCACCACCATCATAATCTTCAGCATCATCATCAGCAGCCGCTTCACCGTCGTCATCATCATCATCATCAACATCACCATCATCATCATAATCGTCATCGCCAACGTCATTATCGTCGTCAAGAACATCGTCATCATCATCAGCATCATCAACATCACCAACGCCATCATCATCAGCATCATCATCACCGTTGTCGGCGCCATCATTGTCAGCATCATCATTAGCATCATCAACATCATCGTCGTCAACATCGTCATCAGCAGCAGCATCATCATCATCATCATCATCGTCATCGTCATCCTCATCGTCATCATCGTCAGCATCAGCATCATCAGCATCAGCATCAGCATCATCACCACCACCATTGTCATCATCAGCATCGTCGTCGTCACCATCATCATCAGAATCAGCATCGTCATCATCATCATCAGCAGCATCACCATCATCATCGACATCATCATGATCATCACCATCATCATCGTCTTCATAATCATTATCATCAGCAGTTCATCATCGTCATCGTCATCAGCATCGTCATCATCAGCAACATCATCATAACCATCCTCATCTTCATCATAATCATAATCATCCATCATCAGCATCGGCATCGTGGTCATCATCGTCAGCATGAGCATCATCATCATCAGCATCATCATCAGGATCATCAGCAGCATCGTCATTAGCGTCATCACCATCAGCAGCAGCAGCATCATCATCGACATCGTCATCAGCATCGCCATGATCATCACCAGCATCACCCTCAGCATCAGCATCATCAGCCTCACCAACACCATCATCATCACCATCGTCGTCGTCATCATCATGAGCATCATCACAGACATCATCATCATCATCAGCATCATCAGCATCAGTATCATTACCATCAACACCACCACCATCATCGTCTTCATCGTCGCTGTCGCCATCATCATCAGCATCAGTATCAGCATCAGCATTATCATCATCATCAACATCAGCATCTTCAGCATCATCATCGTCATCATCATCAGCATCGACATTTTTCTCATCAGCATCATCATCATCAGCATCACCATCATCATCGACATCACCATCAGCGTCACCATCATCATCATCAGCATCGGCATCAGCAGAAGCATCATCTTCAGCAGTATCAGCATTAGTATCAGCATCACTACCACCATCATCATCGTCGTCACCGTCATCATCAGCATAATCATCAGCATAATCAGCATCAGCATCAGCATCCTCATCGTCGTCAGCATCATCAGCGCCACCATCATCAACAGCATCAGCAGCATCATCATCATCGGCTTCATACTCATCGCCATCGTTATCGTCGTCAACAGCCTCATCTTCAGCATCATCTTCATCATCAGCATCATCATCATCATCGTGAGCATGAGCATCATCATCATCATAATCAGCATCAGGATCATCAGCATCATCATAATCATCATCCTCGCCATCATAGTCAGCATCAGTATCATCACCACCACCACCATCATCATCATCATCGTCGTCATCATCATCAGCATCATCATCGTCAGCATCATCATTCGCATCATCATCGTTATCTTCACCGTCATCATCATCAGCATCAGCAACAGTATCATCATCATCAACACCACCACCACCATTATCAGCATGATCGTCGTCGCCGTCGTCATCATCATCATCAGCATCATCATCATCATCAGCATCATCACCCTCAGCATCAGCATCATCAGCCTCACCAACACCATCATCATCACCATCGTCGTCATCATCATGAGCATCATCACGGACATCATCATCATCAGCATCATCAGCATCAGTATCATTACCATCAACACCACCACCATCATCGTCTTCATCGTCGCCGTCGCCATCATCATCAGCATCAGTATCAGCATCAGCATTATCATCATCATCAACATCAGCATCTTCAGCATCATCGTCATCACCATCAGCATCGACATTTTTCTCATCAGCATCATCATCATCATCATCAGCATCACCATCATCATCGACATCACCATCATCATCGACATCACCATCAGCGTCACCATCATCATCATCAGCATCGGCATCAGCAGAGGCATCATCATCAGCTATATCAGCATTAGTATCAGCATCGCTACCACCATCATCATCATCATCATCGTCGTCACCGTCATCATCAGCATCATCGTCAGCAGCATCATCATCAACAGCATCATCAGCATCATCATCAGTATCATCATCATCATCATCATCAACACCAGCAACTGCATCATCAGTATCATCATCAACATCAGCATCATCAGCAGCACCAGCATCTTCAGCATCATCATCATAAGCATCGACGTGTTCCTCATCAGCATCATCATTATCATCAGCATCACCATCATCATCATCAGCATCACCATCATCAGCAGCATCAGCATCAACATCACCATCGTCATCATCATCAGCATCGGCATCATCACCGTCATCATCAACATCAGCAGCATCATCATCATCATCATATCAGCATTCGTATCATCATCACCACCACCATCATCAACGTCGTCAGCATCATCAGCATACTCATCATCACCAACATCATCATCAGCATCAGCATCATCATCAGCATCATCATCGTCAGC